TATTTGAACAAGGGAACACACCATATCCAAAGAGTTTCATTACAATATGCTGATGACTTCAATTCAGTTGAACAATTAGCAGCTAAACCGCCAAGTTCATCTAACAAGGCAGCGGTAATCATAAGTTCACCTCCCGACATGATCACAAACCACCAGCAGTCCAACTAATTGTTGGATTCTTGTTCAACGATTGGATAATTCTAGTTTGTGAACTTTGTCCTCGGACAACCCGACTGTCTCGGTTGATAGGATAGCGGACTACTGTTCAAATCGGTGGCCAGTCACTACCTTACTGCCTTGATATTCCAGATAGCAGTATAATGCTAAAAGCGAGGTACTTTGTGGGGGCACTTTCGTTCAGGACGTTTAAACACAAGCAAAGTGAGCAATGTGAAATCAGTAAACTCGAACATCGCCTGAATAATATCAAATCTGGGCTGCATCATACAGCAAAATTGACGTATGATTCATGAATTGGTCAATGAACTTACGAAGATAACCGATATAGATTTCAGGAAGGTGTCAGTTTAAGATATAGCTTGGAAATCTAAACTGATTTAGCCTAATCAAAGAAAAGCCTAATCTTTCAGGCCAAGTAATAATCACATTTTCATTAAAATGGCACTTGTGTGCCACATACGGCTCGTATTGAAACAACAAATATTGATTTAGAAACCGATATTTTGCTTTAACTAGCCTTCATCACTGACCATAAACTTGCGTGACGCACATCTTTCTGAACGCTACATGAAAGTAAAAGTTTCGGTCAAACCCGTTCACTAGGTAATGCCTTGATCACGTTCGGCGCGGTGACATCTAGAGGTCAAGACTTCCGTGTATTTGTTTAGTAAACGTATTAAGTACGAAGTTGCCAACATCCTTGTTTGATGAAACCGCTACAAGACGCTCACATGGTATTGAGTTGTGTTTGGTTATGAAGGCCCCATGGAGTGTGGAATCACGATGCTAACCGGTTCGCGGATTATCGCTTTCATCGTCCTCGATTAGTTCGCTCTAAATCTGCATAGTATACTCTGTGTTTGACCAGAACGCAACTGACAGTATGGCTTGATGTTCTTTATAGCCAACAACAGTCATCGTAGGATCAATACATTGTAAGAGCATTAATAACATCCAAGTATTTTCGTTTCGTTATCATTCTGACAAAGAGAAGTGAAAAGACTCAATGCCGCAAAATTACTCGGTTCCATCAAGAGCCCTGGACTAACTGAGTTGAATACGTCGAGGGATGTCTCGCTCACAGAATTTACATCAGCCCGCACTTTGGTTTGAAGCGAAATTATTAAGAATTCACAAAACCTTTGGTGTATCAGTTAATCAAAAATAACATAATAAATGACTCATTCAGTTCACAACGAGAAAACTGTGGACCTGTTGGGAGTTTATAATGATTCGAGCAAGTAATGTTTTGTGTAAGTGTGGAACATTTGGTATCAAACAAATAGTAACTTAAACAGGTAATCTGTGACAAACGGTGGAGTCTAAATGCTTCTTATTTATATAGTCACCGATTATAGGGGGGACCAGAAATCCACCAAGCCACTGCTTGTAACTTTAAGCGGATGTTTTAGTAAACATGCCGCCTGAGTTCAAAACACAGCCACGGAGACGCACTTCCATATCACGGTATCTAGCGGATGGTGCAGATCAACTAAGTGAAAAAGTGAAATTCCCCAGGTTAGCTCACTAATCGGTGAGCAACTCGAAAGGGGTTAAATTTGTTCTATTTTTTCAAACGGGCTATCGGAAGCCAAAGACTGTTGCAAGATGCAGTGAAACCAAAGAAATGAAGAAGCCATTTATATAGCATACAGATTATCATCACGTCCAAACACACAAATGTCCGGCACAATTAGCGATAAATGTGAAGTGCAAACGAGCCCGCTGAAAGTGAGGGCGATGCCCCTTCAAAATGATTATTCTGGGTATCCGGCAGAAGTAATTTTGTGAAGCATGTGAGTCGGTGGCGAGCAGCCGCACTTACACCACTACAAAATCGCATGTGTTTCCATCGGGATTTCTCATGACGCTGACAAATATGATAGCGCCGGTTGGCTGTTGTTATTTTGAATGGAACGTTTCCCTAGACAGAATGTTTAAGACAATTCCAGGGGTATTTCAAGTGTTTTACTGATAGCAGACGCGATAGTTTCGTTCTAGGTGAGCTTGGACAAGAATGCATGCTGTGGACTATCAACAGTACCTAGTGGGACCCAGGGTCAGCAGGAAAGGTCAGAATAGTGTAAGGAAGGAATGTACGTCATCGTGACGACATTAAAAGTGAAGCTTCGAAGTTCACCACTGGCGCTGCCGTCAATGATGGTGATGAGTGGCCACTGATTTTGAAGTGACAGATAAATGATACTGGGTGCCACTTTTGTGCCCCGGGGTAAGGTAAAAGGACAAGACTTCCATTTCGAGACTCCTTAACTCTGTAAATTGAAACTGAAAAACTGCTTGTATCATACAAGCACTGCAGAGGCTGTACAAACATTTTCAATGGGTACCAGGCTGAAGCTCCACGGAATTGTCGTTTCACGATGTTAGGCATTGTAGTTACTTAGTATTCAGATTTTCTTAGAGAAGAGAAATCAAGTTAGGTGCTGAAATTTCGATGGTTGTAGTATTTAAAAAACAGTAAGCGGAAATCTCATGCAAGAAGTATTGGATCGACGAGATGGAATTCAATAAAATAATTATTGGTTTAGGTGGAATTTGCCTGAGTGTGAACTCGCCGACTGAATTTCAATAAAATGAGGGCCCGATGAATTGGTCGGTCATCCACCGCCTTGCACAACAACATTCGTTTGAAACCCCGGGCACTCCGTTGATTCTACACAGGATGGATACTTGGTGCGCTTAGCAATGTTGCCAGTCGGGTTTTGCCGTAGAAGAGTTCAAGGGATGGCTCTGAGTCTCGGGTGATTTACTTAATTGCTCTACTAACCTGGTCGTTTTAACCCTTTTACCTAACTTGCACTTTATTCCAGTTCCTTCAAATTATGTACTTGCGGTACTCCTGTCCAAGTAATTCTATGCTTATTTACGATGAACTGCTGAATCGATCCTTTGGATTTTGTGAGCCTTATTGTCATCTGAATTGAATATGTTCAGAGGTGTGCACGTGATAACGTTTTTAGAGAATATTTTCGGTGATATGGGATAACCTACCATGGTTTCAAGTGAGTTGTGTCTTGTTACTTAACAGCCATCAAGGATGAAGTGCGCAGGCACTGCACAGGGGAAGCGTTACTTTTTATAATATACTTATTGTGGATGATTCTAATCACGAGTAGGTTGGCTATGTAAGGAAGCTGAGTTTTACATAAGATGTCTTTGAAACTAGACGGTCAAAACTGTAACGTGCTCTTGTCACTTTAAATTACACAAGTTCATAAAGAGATCATTTTCACTTCGGGTACCCAGGTAGTAACGGGCCGAGCAGTGCAACTCTTTTGCTGAAGGTGCTGGCTCCAGCCATATTGCTGCTGAACCAATCGTATCTGGGAGCTGAGCTTAGATAAGCGTTTCCAATAAGGCGATTCCCAATAAGGATCAAGCAGCGTTACATCGTTTGTCAGCCTGGTGGTTCAATTTCACAAGTAAAAGAAAAAATTCCGTCCACCAGGACAACACATCTGCCCGGGCTATCAATCATTTGTTCCTAAACTTTTCTGCCCGTTATCTCATTCACACAGAACTGTGATCAGTTGACAATTAATACTACATTTCCGTTCGTATTCATTCAGGTGGTTTTGTAAGTTGACGGTATCCACGAATAGTTTGTAAAAAACTGGAAATCCACTCTTGAACACGTCGGACCATATGCCATTGGATTTCGAAACACATTAAAACAACCCGAAAATAATGTCTTTTCACGGTTATTGTGAATGAAGCTTTGTTTCACATACGATAAAGTGCCGCCTCTTCTATTTCGAAACGCCTTTCCGCTGTGGTGCTGGTGTGGAAGTAACTTTGCTGCATTCCCATATTGATTGTGAAACCAATGGGGTCATTTGTACACCTTTGCCTCGAAGGCTTCCTACCAAAATGAAACGCTTTATTGGTTTTGACAAGCTTGTCAGGAACTCCGTAAAAAGCCGTAACCATAAAACCTTAAAATGCTGCTTGGTGATTGCTTGCATTAGCAAGTCTTCTCCCCTTGCTGTGGTGGTAGATTTACATGTAGTTAGGACACTCCGCACAACGCTGTTATTAAGCAACGCATATCTTCATATTGCTGACTAATAGTGGTACCATCCATCAGTACGTACAAAATGCTGTATAAACAGAACTACGAACATTGCGTGGTTCGGTACCACCAGGTAAAATTTGGCCGTCGAGCGGGAGATGTTCCAGTGGTCGGTCGGTTGCAATAAGCCAATCGAAAACGACTAAACTCTAAATCCACGATGGGCTTTTTCCAGAGTTCCGGGTTATGAAAATTCTGGGATAAGCACAGGACTTATGGGCCATTTGCGGGTTATTCATGGGTTAGCAGTTGAGTGATATAACCGCCCAGTGAATAACGCCTCGAGCTTCCGTAACAACTCGAGTCCGAATAACCGAATAAACTCCTGCCAACTGGTTGTCAATGGCTGTCCTAAATTGGAGTTAGCATGCAGAGAAGTAACAAATACCGTTTGTTTACTCTGGTAAAATCAAATTTTTGATGACTGGTGGTAATCTTTTACAAGGAATATTGAAGAAAAACCGGTGTTGAGCAGAGAAATTGGTAGATTTGTGTAATACTTATGTGGTTGTTTGCGGTTTGGCTTGGAACCACCGGAAATACCGATAAGGTAGACCAGTAACCCACTAATAATAACGCGCACCGGGGATGCGTTCAGCACCAGTGAACTTGCCTGTGAATGTAGAGGCGAAGCCTGCATAGAATACCAAAACCCGTTCGCCTCCTTTGCAAGTGATTACTTTCGGAATGTTGTGGTTGCGAGAGTTTTGGAGCACATGCATTATTCTCAATTTACATTGGGGGCGAGATGGCCCAAGTGGTTAGAGCGCGAATTTACTGACCGGAAGGTTCGTGGTTCGAATTCGACCTCCGCCACTCGACTTCCCCTGTCTAGGCTTGGGCAACCTGGCAGTATCCTAGCCCTCGTGCTTTCTTCGGGTGGCATGGCAGCTAGGCACCGGAAGGGTGCTACAGCTGAACGCTTTCTTTCTTCTTTCAATTTACATTACATTGATTTGTCTGAGTCCATTACACACAGCCTGTCAGCCAGGACATGAAGCACGTTTGATGCTTTTGGGACCTATAAGAATTTCAGGAAGCTTGACGCATACTGGCGTTCTTTAAAAAAGCCTAGTCACCCTGGTTTTACCTAGTATATTGTGTTGGATGAAGCCGTAAGCATAAAGCAGCAATTTACGCATCCATTTGGTGGACTTATATATCTCTCTTACGAGATGTCTTTGTAATTTGCCATCTTAGTGAAAACTTGGAATGGAGTTTATAGACACTCAATAACCTGTTCTAAAGGCTGTTTAGAATGCGCGAAATTTTGTCCGTGTTTACAACAACGAAGAAACAAGAGAGTCGTATAAGTAGCCGACCTAAAAATCACGGGTAAATCTTCCCTAGGATGAGTGGTTCAAGTTTGAGTAGAACCGGTAAACAGAAAACAACAATTAGATCAGTTTGCGCCGTGTTTGCTCCCAAACACCAATGCGTACCTGAATTCAAAATGGAAAGCACAAGTTGATGTACCTGAGAAGTCGGGAATCGTCAAGGCCGTATTTCATACAAACTGGCAATCCCATCAATCATTCACAGCATGGACAACATTTACTTTTTAGCAGAGCAAGTGAACATCTGTCGATGTACAAAAATGAAACACAAACGTTTCGAGTATGACACAAATGGGGTTCGTTTTAATCTCAACTCTTCTTCGCTGTGGTAATTTTGAAACAGAACTCACTTCCCTGATTGTGGAAATGTTAAAGCTACCGCATTAAAACTTTGGGACAGGCTAGACATTCCTTCAAAATCAGTTATCGTAATTTAGTGAATGCCACCTTGGTGATAAATGCTTGCTCTTACGGTCATTTTTCCGGATATGTTCTAATGATCATTTGTGTATCTGATAGCAACGTAGGTTTACTGAATGCGTTTTCAAAGTTTAGCGAATGCGATTTCAAAGTTTTAACCCAGACCGTCCATCTGAGGCACTAATTGTCTCACGCTAATGTGATCGACTTTAAGAAGCAAATCTTTGATTCCAACAAATTCTCTCAGCTAGTTTTTTGTTAGACTTTCTGTATCATCCATTATGACGGTTCGTAATAGTGATGTGAGCTGAAATCGTTTGATTTCCCTGAGAAAAATGTTTCCAAGGGAAGAACAAAGAATCCCGCGAGTATTTCCCACGGGACGCACACATATGAGCATCAGAAAATTTACTGACAGCTTCAAGACGTTCACCTTTTATTAGTAGAACGAAAGGTGATCTGCTTGGAACTGTCACAAGACCTGACAGCATGTCATCAGTTATTGCCGCTAACAGCGTAGAATAAATCTGTACTCACCTTGGGAAAACAAATTAAGCGGACGATTCTATAAACCAAACAATAGTGGGCCTACTGTACAACGAGAAATAAATAATGTACTCTTTTTGTAAGTAAAAAACAGATGAAATGCGATTCATTAGAAACCGGACTCAAACTGTTAGCTTTGCGTAACGACAACAGATACGTCGACCGGCGCATTAGATCCATTCGTATGAAAAACTATTAGCGTGACAGACTTCCATCCGTATTGCGAATACACACTCCAAAGAAAAATGATTCGGATTTTCAAGCAGGAAAGTGTTTCTGCTTCCAATGACTTCGAATGGTTCCTCAAGCGATTCAGGGCGCAGCCGATCCTGGGTCGTCCTCAGCAGCCTTGTGAGTAGTTTCCCTTAAGAATGTATGCTTTGATCCCTTGAAAATCGTGAAATATCAGGCGGCATTATTGCAGCACATTCAGTTAAAGAAAATCGTAAATGAGATTCGGCTGGGTCCCAGCTGAGTCTTGCAAAAATGAAATTTGTTTGTAAATGAGTATACTTCACTAATTCTGTGGAATTTGGTCCAACTAGAACCTAAGGTTGACGGAAACTCGAGGACTGCGCCTACCTGATGAGCTCCAAAAAGGGCGAACTCGGTCGTGGGCTGCCGAAGAATTTCCAGCAACCTTATGAGTAGTGCATTACAAATACATACATGTATCGCGATGTCCCGAATATCGTAGCAACTGGAACATGAGGCAGACTTTTGCAGCACATTCCGTTACCTAGAAACATCACAAACGAGAGATTCATTTGAATTCCAGGGGAGTCTCTCGTAAAACCAGATTTATTTGCTAATTAGTGTATTTCGCTAAACGTGTTTGCGCATCCTATTACTGCAAGTGGTTACCCATGTGATTCAGAGTTTTGTCGAATTCCCTTTGGTCGGACTATCCTACGCCACATTTAAAAAAACCTAGTCAGTGACCATGGTTAGTATGTATACCTAAGCGTCTTACATTTTGCAAGAGATTTCTTTTGATAAAAGGCAGCTGAAAGATATTGTGTAACAACAAACTAGTTTAATCCTAAGTGTCGGAAAATGTGTGCATCCATCCGGTTGGATCGACAATAATTTGCCCAACGGCACTACTGGGAGCCGACAACATTGTAAGTGATTTTGTGGTAGGAAATTTTCTATAGTTGGCCACCCGACCTTCATTCGAACTTTGAACTTTTGCCTCTTCAATAGTCACAGAGTGAACTATATGCACTTTCCTTCCTCTCGAAAAATAACTGTTAGGCACTACTGCGCATATGACTAACGAAATATCTAAAAGGATGACTTTGCAGATATCGGAGTTTCGGCTTGCGAAGTTCTGCGAAAATATAGCGGAAGATGAACAACCAGATTATCACCGGTAAAGATCTGTCCCTCGTCCCAAGTGAACAACACGTTTGCCCGGCATCAGATTTGTGATGACAGCAGCTGATATCTAAATAATGGATCAACGAATCATCGATGTTTAGCTGTTCTGTTGGCTCAAACCTGACCCCACTTAGGATAAGAACCAGCCTGTGAGGATTAGCTCCCTTCTTAGTAACGATTGTCGTCTCTGAGATGGTGTTGTAAAGTGCGCTGTCACAATAGGCGAGAAATCACCATTTGTAACAACCAGCCGGAACAACCGTATGGGTTAAAATGGTACCACGATGCAACCCCTTAGAGATCCCTTAGAGAAAGTTTAGGTATTTTTGTCGATGTTTGGTGGTCGCCAAAGCTGAGCCAGAAAGAGATTGACAGATGAAGTATTCAAGCGCTGAATTTGTTTGCTGATGTTACATCACTTTCTGGTGCACACTTTTAGTGGATCTGATGAATGGAACCTGTTTAGTAACCCCTGCTTGGCATTGAGGTTGAGCATCAAATACTGTCAAAGGACACGCCTTGAATGATTGAGAAGGGCAAATGTTGAGCTTTCGGATTCAGTAAGAAGAATTACTTGGTGCTGACAAAAGGAAGTGGATGACGAAACCCTGAATTCCAAAAACCACCTGATGATGCACGAAAGCGCCTTGGACAACTCAGATCTCTTTCAAAGCAGAGGATAATCATGGAATGCAAATCACGTCCAGATCTGTTCTCCTGCATCACGAGATAGCTATCTGTATAAGAATTTGTTTGTCGCAAGAAGTTGTATTCCCTATCAACCATAGCCGAAAGAATGTCCAGACAGTTATAAATATCACTTGCTGTCTCACAGACAATTTCGCCGTAGAAAGATAGCTGGAAATTTTTTGCACTGTTCTTGCTATTTTTGGTTTGTCATCATTTAAGTTTAAAAAACGGTTCAGTTCAGACTAGTTCGGTATGGTCCGGTGTGTCTGGCTGTTACCGACGCTTCGAACGTACAGCATGCTAAACTGTAATGGATGGACTGGATTCCTGACTTTTTTGTTTCTGCCGTACTGACGGAAACGAAAGTTCCGAAAAATTTCAAAACTTTCGTTGTATTGTCATTTGAATTTTACCCGTGAAGAAATATCAGCAACAAGACAACATAGTATGGGTTCTGCACGATTCGCCATTTATGTTCAAGAATGGTGGCTGTGAACTTTGGTTTTCGTATGTGGTCGTATTTCAGTCGAAACACATATGCATCATTCCATCTTTCTGCGTCAATCCTTCCCTCTATTAGTGCCATTTTCTCTACCAACCTGCTATGTAGGGTTCAGTAGTTTTATCAAACTCGTATTTTGCATAGTCGTTGGTTAGTTTGTGGACGATGAAATCCTTGGTGAATAAAAACATGGGACAAGTTTTTCCAGCCCAGATACTGATATGTTCCCGCAACGGCACGTGCACTAGAAAACTAAGACCCAGCCGATTAGTTAGACAGCCGGGCTCGAACTCCAGCCTCATACTTGCGGATGAACCGATTGAGGTAGTAGACAAATACGTTTACCTGGGCAGCTGTATCAGTCCCGGTGGTCTCGTGAAAGATGATATTTCCATCCGGATTGGGAAGACCAGAGCAGCTTTTGCGAACCTACCTGTGGCGTAGGCGTGACATCAGTTTCTCTGTCAAGGGTCGGGTTTACAATGCTGCGGTGCGCTCCATATTACTAAACGGATCAGAAACCTGGCCGCTGCGCGCCGAGGACGTCAAAAGACTTTCAGTGTTTGACCATCGATGTCTTCGGAGCATTGCCCGAATCTGGTGGGAACACCGGATCAGCAATTCTGAAGTACGTCTAATGGTATTCGGGAGAAATGACTCTCATCCTCGATAGATGAACTGATCACACTGCACAGGTTGCGTTGGCTTGGCCACGTGCTGCGTATGCCATTCGACCGATTTCCCTGCAGGTCTGTTTTCTCACAACCACGTGAAGGGTTGAAGAGAGCCAGAGGCGGTCAAAGAGTGATTTGGCAGCGAAGTATGAAAGCCATTAGCTGTAAACTCAGCTGCGCTGGTCGCTGCCGTCTTCCTGGATGGGGACCCCGAGACGGGCCACATCAATGGCTAGAGATATTGTCAGACATGGTCCAGTCGCGACCTCAGTAGCGCTCGTGCATCCAAGCTATTGCCTTCAATGCATGGTTCCTTTTCCAACCCTACCCCCACTTGACAGCCCACTGAGAGTACCGCATTTATGCACCAATTTATCAGCTCCCGTCTGCAATGTGCAGCTACCTACCTCTCCCCCCAAATCATCGGTGAACGAAACTGGGGCAGCTACAACCACTGTACGACGAGTACGTTGTTATTACAGCTGACAATGATGATGATAATGATGAGTTAGACAACTAGGTTCATTTGGTGTTTAAGAGTCGCGTAACGTCTAGGATGCAAACCTCAACTCGGCTGGTCTTAGCACGTGGGCCGCTGAATTTCATAACTTCCTAATGAAGTCAACACATCCTCCTTGTGTGTGGGTATCTTGTGTAAAATATGACAACCCATAATATTTTGGGTATTTATTAAAGAGAGATAACGTTGAAAATTGTCTGCACTCTTCAACCTATTTTTCTTCGGAACGGTGCTGACTTGTGTTTTCATATCGTGACCGAATCATACTTCGTTCACTGAATGTGAACTCCTTACATTCACATTTTTGCCTAACAAATGGATCTCACTGGACATCCTCCTTATTCAGTATAAGAAGAACAAATACGATTTGATATCTGTCCCAATTGTGTAGGAAAGATGTTCACTTTTGCGCTGGAAATACGTTAACTGAAACGTTATCTGAAACCATAAAAAGCAGGAATGTCACCGATGATAAAGCTTCAGTGAGTGCGTTGTACCATCATTCCACATCTTAAGGTATGAACCAAAAATATTACAGTGTTGTCATACTGGGACGCACGGCCCCCTCACATAATGAGCCTAGGAAATCGGTCTGTTTCAAGATCATTTGTGGTGCGTTATCTCAGAACACAAGTAACGCACAAATTTAATGCGCACAACGTTTGAATAATGCGATATGATAAATTCCACACAGAGATAATTTATCTCATTGTTTATTTCAACCGATGTGCGTGTTGGCTTTCTGATTGGGCGAAACAGATACGCTGCCGTATGTTAAGTCTACGACACAAATGTTTATAGAAGCAGCTAATTCCTGCGCTAGCGCTAAAAATGCGCTTCATTTGAAATTTAGCTAATTGTTTGTCTTATCCTCATTTCGGGAGACTTATCTGCCGAATTCCCGCTTGATATATGAATGCGCAATCACTAAAAATACAAATAGACTGCCAGGAAATTAGTTACCGGGTTTTTTTATTTTCCAGGTCATCATCATTTTGCCTGGCCACTTTTGGGACAAATCAATCACACTGGTTGTTTTTGAGTAAACTATAAGCAGTACTAAACGGTATTTCAGTAGTTATTTACCACCAAATTGGAGGAAATTTTGTCTGTTCCCGTGAAAGTACCATAGGCGTCAACCTATAACAGTCATAAAATGCTTGAAAGCTTTGTCCTTAGTTCGCCGAAACATTTGAAATATAGGGGGATTCGTGAGCTCACAAATGATGGGGAGGTATTCAACCACCTTATCTACTTTGAAACATTTCCAAATCACCAAATCTAACTGAATATTGAGTATTTCGTCGTGGCTGTCTGAAGGACAGAAAAAGATACTGTTAAGTACTACTGGTGAGCTCTTTTTGTTATAACTTTCATACAAGCCCCACTCTCGTGACTTTTTATATGGCTAACAGTGTCAGCCTTCTGAGCTTTGCTTTCGAATAAAATGGTGGTTTTTCATCGAATACGGCTGGTTCAAAGCTTTATTTTTTAGAGCATGCTGTGTTTGACAGCAGAAAAACCTGGATTCAGATAGTGCGGGATCTGACTTTAAGAATCCCTTAATTAAGGATGTAGTTGTTATCATAGTTTGCTCTCAGGGTCACATGGGCTCTAACAGTTGACTTTCATCGGTGTTACTTGAAGGCGGTACAATTTTTCCGTTACGAGACTAAAGTTAGCTAAGCCAGTGTAGGTAACTGCAAGAATGATGACGACTTTACTCTGTTCTTTTTGTCACAGAAGCTAGAAAGCAAACCGGGTTTCTCTGCGTCCAGTGAATCATTGTACAGCTCATCTGGACAATAATTATGTGTTACGTTGTTATTCATCTATATATAGAAAGTCTTTCCGACTTGCTTTTGTATTTCAGTAAGCGAACACATATTAACGCTGACCATGTGAGTTGCCTGTGAACACATTTCTAGCAGTTTCGCTTACTGAGATTATCCAAAGATGGCAGTATCCTTCACGTTCGTCGGATTAGATACAGATAAATTTAAAATAATAGATTTCGTGCAAAAAACAAGAACGGTATAAACGTTTTCAAGACGACCCTTCATAACAGTCAGGAGAAAATCCATGAACAAAATTTTCAACTTCCAAGATTTTTACCTTTTGAATTTTCCTTTTCCTGCAGTGATCATACTTGGACTTAATGAAGTGCTACCGACTGATGCCCACATCTCATAGGAATCATTGGAATATTTCGGTGCGTTATTGGGGAGTGTAGTGGTGTGAAGCGGTGGGTTAGTGATTGGCACTCAATCAAACTGTCTAGCTCAGCGAACAAGCCAACGGCCATCTACGCTACCTGAGCTACCAACATTTTCCTCTATAGAAAATACGATGTTTTGGACGAAAGATTTCAGGCGCAAAAATTAAACCAGGTAAGGTTGATCTTACCAGATCTAAGTAGCAGGTTAATAGCTGCAGGTTGTGACGTCATACCGTCTTGTTGCTAAGTTGATGAAAGATTAGAGACCGTGACTAGCTTACGAGCCCCAAGAGGGGAGAAACAAGTTGGGAGGCTGTTGAAGAGTTTTCAGAAATCTTATGAATAGATTAACCGTGCAAAATTAATCACCACTGGCATCGGTATGCGACAGTTTGAACTGGGTTGGATTCACAAAGCAATTTTAGATTTTTATTCTCAATGTATACAGTATGTCTGCCCAAGTCTTCTTACGTTTATTTCTTCAGTAGTCATTTTTAACTCCGAAATTTATAAAAGTATTACTGACAGTTTCTCTTTTCCACTAGCACTAGCAACCTGGTTGGAATATAGTAAATTGATGAAGCACCTGATTCAAACTTTTTTTTAAAACTTTTTGACCATACTGGTAAAAGTATGCACAATTACTCGATGCGATTAGCTGGTGCGGATTTTTTAGCGACGACCAAGTGATTGTCCCGATTTTGTTGACCAAAGGTCAGACACACAAGAGTTTTCCAGTAATCTGGCAAACCAGTCGGAGATTGTCTCTACCAGTGACGGTATGAGGAGGGATTTCAACTGACATATTATCCTGTAGGCGGGGCTCGTACGAGATTAAAAGCAGCTCTGTACAATTATTTCATCATTATCTGGAATCATCACATGTAATTAAACCCTGGGGAATTTAGGACCGTCTATCTATCTATCTATCTATCTATCTATCTATCTATCTATCTATCTATCTATCTATCTATCTATCTATCTATCTATCTATCTATCTATCTATCTATCTATCTATCTATCTATCTATCTATCTATCTATCTATCTATCTATCTATCTATCTATCTATCTATCTATCTATCTATCTATCTATCTATCTATCTATCTATCTATCTATCTATCTATCTATCTATCTATCTATCTATCTATCTATCTATCTATCTATCTATCTATCTATCTATCTATCTATCTATCTATCTATCTATCTATCTATCTATCTATCTATCTATCTATCTATCTATCTATCTATCTATCTATCTATCTATCTATCTATCTATCTATCTATCTATCTATCTATCTATCTATCTATCTATCTATCTATCTATCTATCTATCTATCTATCTATCTATCTATCTATCTATCTATCTATCTATCTATCTATCTATCTATCTATCTATCTATCTATCTATCTATCTATCTATCTATCTATCTATCTATCTATCTATCTATCTATTAATCAACCGATCTATCTACCTGCTTATCTGTCTAAAAGCTATAGGTAACTCAGTGGAAGGATAACTCGCGCGATAAATGGAACTTTCGTCTGGGAAGTGTTACTTGAGGGCTAGTCAATAAGCGATCAGGTCATGTGGATGCCGTGACTGAAGAATGAGGTACGCTGAGTCCTGTCGAAGTGGCTCACCATACAATTGTGGCATGTATGGAGCCTAAGATATCTCGGCGTATAGCTGACTTCCACCACTAATCTGAGGGTTGACCAAACTCAAACCATCCAATGCACGATTGACAGTGATTAGTGACGCTGCAGTGTGGACACTATTCAGAAAAATGCTAGGTGTTCCCTACTAGAAACGAAACCAATCAAACAGCAATGATTCGTAAATCTTGTTTTGACTCACTCGTAATTCGATCTGTAATACATTTTTAAATGGATCTTCGACGGTCAATTTTTTAACAAAATTTTCTACTGACGATGACCTTAAAGTCTTATTGTCCACAGTAATGTGAAAATAACATTTTCTGTTAGGGTTTGTACTTCATCGAACTTGCGTTATCGATTCTGCTACGCCCTCGCTTCAATTATTAGGCTCAACTTACTGCTAAATTAGGTCACGTCCAGTCGAATCATGGCAAGGTTCTAAATTCCACTGTTTTCCTGGAAATCATTCTTCGAAAATGATTTATTTCATACAAAATAGTTTCCGGCTTGAAAATAGTTCGTCGAATGAAGTAATTCGACTTTGCATAGTCCATACGCCGGAGCCCGTAAGGCTGTCATTTGTAACCTGCACAATTGCGGTAGATGACTGATGCTGACCTGACTTCCAACCAGATAGCTTTCTTTCCTTGCACTTACAACATAGGAGTTAGTTATTTAACCTCATATCGGATGTCAGTTAGCCAAAGTGATAGCTTCATTGACTAACAGCAGAGTCTAAAGGGAGACAGTCAAACACCAAGTAATGATAGATTGACTAATTTACTTTATGTTATTCTGGGTGGACTGTTCGGCGGAAACAGAAGAGAATTTGTCCATGCATTGAAGGTAATAGTTCTGACGCAGGAATACCTTCTCTCAGAGTCTCTAGTCACTAAAAGTTTATCCGCGTGGTCGTCGACCAGAAACCAAATCCACAGAATCTAGTGATCAAAGCTCTCCTGCTTCGTACGCAAGTCACTTTCTGACGGTTTTTGACTCACTTCAGTGAGACACAGCTCTACAAGAATATTGTCCTGTACATGTAATTGTTAGGAACATGGCGGTTGTGGCCAAACCAGTGTCACATAGGGAAAGCAACTATATTTCTTCCAGGACCCAACTGTCGTTACCCGATGTGTTTTATACACGTTCCTAGTTAATTCCACGACAGCTCAGCAGACAACATGAATACAGTGAGTTTTCGACTTCGCCAGGATTGATGGCCACCAAAATAAGCACTAGGTTCACTCCGTCAATTTTAGTTTACTCGAATGACTGTTCCACCTAGGACTACGCAGTGCATGTTCGAACAGAATGCAGTCAGTGTACACGCAGGAGAAAGTAGTGGTGGTCATAGAACGTAATTAAAGGGACTAATTTGTTCCGTGTACGTCGAAAACAAGTATGAAAGGGAGGTGTGATGCTCCATTAACCGATAGCAAGGGTGAAAAGGGCTCACCGATTAGACGGTCCATTTTAGTGAAACTGCAATACTTGCCCACCTCATAGATCTCACCATTGTGAGTGCACCCGAGGGGTATCACAAGGATTGTGAACCCGAAGGACTACAATTAATCTTACGTACACTCAGGTATGAGGTCGAGGAAATACTCTTGTGGACTGTCTCTTCATAAGGTTAGGATGAGGCGGTAACGTGAAATCGGATGAAAGATAAATACAACTAAAGGCATACAAGCATCACATCATCATCATCGTCAGCTGTAAGAACCGCGTACTCGTCGTACACTGGTTGTAGCTGCGCCAGTTTCGTTCACCGATGATTTGGGGAGAGGGGTAGTTAGCTGCGCATTGCACGCGCGAGCTGGTAAATTGGTGCATAAATCCAGCACTGTCAGTGGGTTGTCAAGCGGGGGGTGGAAAAGGAGCTATGCATTGAAGGCAATAGCTTTGATGCATGAGCGCCATTGAGGGCGCGACTGGGCCATGTCTGATAATGTCTCTAGCCATTGATGTGGCCCGTCTCGGGGTCCCCATCCAGGAAGACGGCAGTGACCAGCGCAGCTGAGTTTGCTGGTAATGGCTTTCATACTTCGCTGCCAAGTCATTGTTTGACCGCCTCTGGCTCTCTTCCACCCTTCACATGGTTGGGCGAAAAGAGCCCTTCGAGGAAGTCGGTCGACTGGCATACGCAGCACGTGGCCAAGCCAACGCAACCTGTGCAGTGTGATCAGTTCATCTATCGAGGGTGAGTTATTTCTCCCGAATACCATTCGACGTACTTCAGAATTGCTGATCCGGTGTTCCCACCAGATTCGGGCAATGCTCCGAAGACATCGATGGCCAAACACTGAAAGTCTTTTGACGTCCTCGGCGCGCAGCGGCCAGGTTTTTGATCCGTTTAGTAATATGGAGCGCACCATAGTATTGTAAACTCAACTCTTGACGGATAAGCTGATGCCGCGCCTATGCCACAGGTGACGCAGGTTCACGAAAGCCGGACTGGCTTTCCCAATCCGGATGGAAATGTCATCTTTCGCGAGACCATCGGGACTGATACAGCTGCCCAGGTAAACGAATTTGTCTACTACCTCAATCGGTCCATCCGCAAGCATGAGGCTAGGGTTCGAGCCCACCCTGTCTTGCAGTAGCACTTTACACTTTGCAGGTGTGAAGCGCATACCAAACCGCGAGGCAGAATTATTTAGATTATTTAGTATTGTTTGCATTGCCACGGGAGCAGATCCTAGAAGAGCTATGTCGTCTGCGTACTCGATGTCTGTGAGCAGAGATCCAGGGAGCACTTCGACCCCACAGGCATTAGAGCCTGGTTTTGAGTCTTCCGTGATCGTATCAGTGACGAAGCTAAAGAGGAAAGGTGAAAGAGGATAACCCTGTCGGACACCACTTGATGTGGTGAACTCAGGAGAAAGCTTCCGTAGACCTTTACACGGCCGCGGGAGTTGGCGTACAGCGCCCCAAGGATGGTCAAGAATTTATGAGGGACACCTTTGCTCCACAAACACTGCCATAGTGCCTGGCGGTCCACAGAGTCGAAGGCAGCTTTCAGATCAAGAAAATTAACCATTGTTGGTTGCTGGAAGCAGTGTCGCTGTTCCAGAATCCGTCGGATGCAGGACGGAACCCAGCTTGTTTTCCACGGGTCTGCCCCTTTCTGTGTTTCCATCAACCTTCGAAGGATAAGGCCAGGGAGCCCCTCCGATGCCAATGCTAACAGGCCGATGCCACGGTGGTTTTCATATAGCGTCCGCGTACCCTTTTAGAAGGTAGGGATAACTGTCGACATGCCCCATTCTGCAGGCACTTCCTCTTCGTATCACATAGTACAAATAAGCTTTTCCAGGTGGGTCACCAGGGTTTTTCCGCCTTCTTTGAAGAGGGCTAGATACAGACCGTCCGATCCTGGTGCCTTATCACTTTTCAGTACAGCTACTTTGTACCTTATTTCTTCTTCCGAGGGGCGATCAAGGTTTACATTCCATTCGGCTGTATGCATTATCTCCACCGTCTCTGTTGCAGGAGGCCAGCTGAACTGTTCCTCGAAGTGTTCGGCCCATCTCTTCAGTCGACGTTTTTGCGAGTGAATTAATGAGCCATCTTTTTCATTTGTCGTTCCGCTGACCGTTGTTTTTCTAGAGCCGGTCGATCGTATCAGTTGATAAAGGGCACGGCTGTTTTCCGTAGCAAAAGCCTTCTCCATCTCCCGAGCTTTCGATGTCCACCAG